TAGAAGATAGCTCACACCCACAATAAGAGAAATGCCATGAAATCACAGAGGCCATTTTGAAAACTTAGACTGGTTCTAAGGTTTAAAGTAGATCAGAGGGATGTCTTGCCTTATGACTGTTGCAATGATGCTGATTAAAACCATGATCAAAAGACTGTAACTCAGAGTCTGAGTAAAGCCTAGGGTAAGGTGTATAAGTACTAAAACAAGAACTCTGGGAAATTTTGCCATGGACTCTTAATGTTTATACACGTTGATGGAACAACAGTAGTGTTCAGAACTACACTGTTAAATAATCAAGAAAAGAGTAAAATTTTGGAGCACCAGAAAGTCGTTGGGAGAATAAAATAGCAGCTAGAGGCAAGTTTAAAAGATTTTTTGCCTCCTGAAATAATTTGACGTACATTACTATTCCTCAGTGATACTGGTATTTTAAGAAACGTTGTCAAAGGCAGAAGATCCAGAAATTTTAGACCTCAAGAAGGTACCTGAGTTCAGTGTTATCAGTTCAATTATTTTTGTGCCACTTTCAAAAGTTTGGTCAATTCTTTTCATCCCATAAAACCTTAATTCTTATTATCTTGTCTATATACCACTTATACTATTTTTAGTTAAATATATTTTTTAAAAAGTCTATATTACTACCATAAATGGAAAATGAGAATCATAGATAGATTCCATAAAAAATAGCAAAACATAAATTTAAATTGAATGAAAGCAATATGATATTAACAAATTATAGCTAGAGACCATTCGTTCGTTGTTAAAAAGACAGACAAGGCAATTGCAAAAGGTATAAAAGACAAACTAGTACCATAATAAGACTTCATACTTGAAATAACCAGAAGGATTGAAAAATAAATAAAAAAACAATAGCTTTGTCTTCATGACTCAGGGTTATATAAAGCCACATTCATGTGCCACCTAAAACCTTCTCACCTGCCACTGGTATCATGTATCCCAGTCTTTGTAAAACACTGGTTTAAGTTTTCTGGACCTCAAATTTCCCTGTCTCTCATCTCTTTTTCTTTCAACACTGAAGCACAGGGAGTGACAAATGGATATGAAGTTTGAGTAAGCCTAGGACAAGTTGCCCTATTTTCGTGGTAGACATATATCAGAAATAAAAATTGGACTTCTCTGTACTAGCTATTTTCTCATTTGACATATTTCAATTCATTTGAGGATATTTTTGTACTTCTTGTGAGGGGTGTATAAGCACCTATGACCAGTTAAACCCTTTCACCCTTTAATCAGAACTTTTTTCTAGTGTCGTGTACTTCTTTTCTTACTATAACTGTTCAGATCTTAGTTCCCATGAAAAATTAAAATTAAGACTCAATATAATCTTTATGTAAGATTTCAGTCTTCATTGTGCTTTTGTGCTCTCATATCATTTAATATTATATGAAATCATTATTTTGATTTATTTCTTCTATTACTGTGCAGAGGAAATAAACCAGAATTAATATTTGTACCCTATGATGAAGGCGCTGAATGTGGCCATTGCCCCAAGGATTGCGACCAGAATTTGTGTTGTAAGTTTGAAAATAAAAGAGTCACTTTCTCTTTCCCTATATACTGGTATACATCTAAAACAATACTTGAAGAGAACCAGAAGATAGACATGGATACAAGATAGAGATGCAAATATAAAGGCAGATACATGCACATATTAGAAAAAATGAAGGTATCACATCATGTAGATATCTATACAGTAGGTGTAAATAAATCAATAGAGAATAGAGACAAACAGATCACTACACTGGAAATAAATATTTAAATCTTACCAATGAAACATCATGAGAATTAAAAATATTTTCTTAATGGATTGTGGATCTAAGTAATTTTAAATTTGTTTAAATTGTATTTTTTAATTTGTTATTTTGCTTTTTTTATTTTACCCTGCTCTAACGTGCTGTGATTGTGGAGATGGGCATTTATTCCTTAGCATATTTTTTAAGGTTAAAAATATCTTCATTACATTTCATTAGTCACCATTAGTCTCTGCACTAGTCACCTTTTTCTGCTAATCAGTGCCAGCTTCCCAAGATCACAAATCTCTCATTTTTACATGGTTATTTTATCTATAAATCTGTATGTAAATTTCTCTATACTTGTGACTCCACCATACTTCTACCTGGTATTCCATCCCCTCAGGACGTTAAGGTTATCATTAAGGTGAAAAATTAGGTAAACTAGTCCTTGCTAACTTCTTCCTAAAAACACTTTTAAGTCTTTAGTAAGTATTTATTATGTAATCAAGAATACTTTAATAGGGGCCGGCCCTGTGGCTCACTCGGGAGAGTGCGGTGCTGATAACACCAAGGCCAAGGGTTCGGATCCCACATAGGGATGGCCGGTTGGCTCACTGCATGAGCATGGTGCTGACAACACCAAGTCAAGGGTTAAGATTCCCTTACCGGTCATCTTTAAAAAAAAAAAAAAAAGAATACTTTAATAGATCATAGTTTAATTCCAGAGAGAGTAAGATGACATAAAAGAAGTGACATTGATTTCACTGTAAACTTCATCTGTTAGTCGGATTGGTCACATCAGATT